ATCCGGTCGACGAATGCACGGAGGAGCGGTATGCAAGCAAGCATTGAGGCAGGACATCGTCCCAGGTGTTCTCCGGTGCGTTGTGCAAAAAGGCACGAAGAAGATGCTTGATGGTTCGGTTGGTGCGTTCCACCAGTCCATTCCCTTGTGGATGATAAGGCGTAGTATGGGTCTTTCGAATGCCGAAAGCATTGCAGATGTGAGAGATAAGAAGACTCTCGAAAGCAGCGCCTTGATCAGAGTGTAGATAAAGAGGGGCACCAAAACGGGACACCCAGTTGTCGATGAAAGCTCGCCCGATCGTCAGGGCATCTTGTTGCTGCAAGGGGACTGCTTCGCACCACTTGGTGAAATAGTCGACCATGACAAGTATATAACGATTCCCGCGTCTCGATGTTGGTACTGGCCCAATGATGTCGACTCCAACTCGATGATTAGGGGCTTCGGTCAGCATAGGTACTAGGGGTGCTCGGGGAGTTGGCTTAGGCTGTTTGATCTGCGCACATATAGCGCAATTGCGGCAAAACTCCATAACATCATGGTGTATAAGTGGCCACCAGAAGCGTTGACGGATGGCGTGTTCAGTTTTCTGTTGGCCAGCGTGTCCCAGTTGATGATGCACCTGACTAATAAGCTCGGGTACTTTAACAGTTGGGACGAGGAGTCGGGGGTTGGCATTTGGTTCCACTATGTAAAGAACATTATCTATAAGTCGTAGTAAACCCCACTTCTCGCAGATGCACCGCGTGGCTGCTGGTAAATCCCGTAGTTCTTTGGACGTCGGTTTATCGTTCCCATGCTGTTGACGTAAATAAATGGGCTGTATCGTTGTGTCCGCCGCTTGCAGGGAGGCCCAGTCGGTGTCAGCTGCAGCACCGAGTAACACATTCAGTGTGTTCTCGCAATCGGGCAGGCGAGAGAGAGAGTCGGCGTTACCATGTCGTTTTCCAGGCCGGTATTCACAAATGAAATCAAACTCCTGTAACCGTTCCTGCCAGCGGGCAAGTTGGCCGTCGGCATCACGAAAATTTTGCAACCACTGTAACGCCTTGTGGTCAGTCCGGACTCGAAATTTGCGCCCCAATAAGTAATGACGAAAGTAGGAGAGGAAGTAGACGAGGGCTAGCATCTCACGTCGCGTCGTCGAATACCGCGTCTCTCTTTTGTCTAGCATTCGACTAGCATATGCTATCACTCGTATTTGTCCGTCAGAGGTTGTTTGCGAGAGAACGGCTCCTATTGCATGTGCACTGGCGTCGGTATCCAGAATGAAGGGCCCGCTACCAGCCGATGTGTCTGGAAACGATAGGACAGGGGGAGAAGTTAGACGTTTTTTAAGCGTGTCAAAGGCTACCTGGCACTCATTTGTCCAAACAAATTTCCGTCCTTTTTCTGTCAAGCGATGGAGAGGGGCTGCTATACTGGCGAAATTCTGGACGAAACGCCGGTAATAGGAGGCGAGTCCCATGAAACTGCGTACGTCAGCGGTCGATTTAGGGGTCGGCCAGTTAAGAACTGCTTGAGTTTTGCTGCTATCCGTATGTACTCCTTGTGGAGTAATCTCATGTCCAAGGAAAATAACAGATTTCTGCAGGAATTTGCATTTCGAGGCTTGCAGCTTAAGGTTACTCTCGCGTAAGCGTTGAAATACGGCGCGAAGGTTGGCATGATGGTCTTCGAGAGACTGGCCGAACACGATGATATCGTCCAGGTAGATGAGGCACTGTTTGGGGACTAGCCCTGCAAGTACTGTTTGCATGAGCCGTTGAAACGTAGCAGGGGCGTTAGACAGGCCAAATGGCATGGTTTCGAATTCGTACAGCCCCGTAGGCACAACGAACGCAGTTTTGGGGCGGTCTTCTGGGCGAATTTCAACTTGCCAATAGCCGGAAGCGAGATCTAGTGTGGAAAACCACTGTGCCCCACCTAAAGCATCTAAGGTAGCGTCGATGCGAGGCAAAGGAAAAGAATCCCGTTGTGTGATTGCATTTAAGCGGCGATAGTCGACACAGAGGCGGAGAGAACCATCTTTCTTTTTCACAAGAACGATTGGAGATGCCCACGGTGACGTAGACGGTTTAATCACCTTCTTTCGTAACATATCTGTTATCATGGTATCCAACTGCTGTTGGTAATGAATGGGCACTCGTCGCGGTGGCGTCCTAATGGGCAAGTTATCACCTGTCTGAATCTCGTGCTGTACGATATTAGTCCGCCCCATCACTTGCCCATCGTCAAATACACCACTGTACTCCTGTAGCAGGGCCAGGGTGTCGGTACGGTCTTTTAGACTGAGGTGGGGGTTATCATGGATGTTCACCACTGTCATCTGGGGTAAAGCACAAACATTAGCACTCTGGTTGCGGTTGACTGGTCGGCGACATGCGAGGTTATGTGTCCCCAGCCGAATTTGAAAGCGTCTTAGGTCAATGACAGCGTTTTTTTCAGTTAAGAAGTCCACGCCCAGTATGGCGTCCCATCGTATGCCATCACAAATGACGAATGACTGGACACAAGTAAAACCTGGGAACGTCACGGAAAGTGTGGCCATGTCTGTTACCTCTATAGGGGCTCCATTGGCGGTAATTAACTGGAGCTGATTGGGGAGAGGTTGAGGTTTGACCCCAAGTGTCTGGACCAATTGCGTGCGAACAACAGAGGATGATGCCCCGGTGTCCACCAGAAAAGTGACGTCAGTGCCCTGGAGTTTACCTTCAAGGAGGAGGGGAGATTTCGAGCAATTATCAAATAATGACACATCAGAACATGGCTCACCTTGCGGTTTTTTGTTATGCCCACATTTCCATGCTCGCCGCCCGAACCGGCGACAGTAATAGCACTTACTGGGGTCATCATGCTGCTGGGACGGAATTGGAGGTTGGCTTGACGATGGAGCATTAGGCCGGCGTTGTCGTGATGCTGGGACGGTTGTTCTTCGCTCGGTGGTCCCGAGAGCATAGCAGGGCGTACTGGCAGCTGGAGTGAGAATATGCTCGACGCTCTCGAATCGCTTTACCACCTCAATGGCCTCTGAGACTGATTTTGCTGGCTGGCGTAGAAGCTGGCACTTGAGCTCATATGATGAGACACCTTGGGCAAAACGGCTACAGATAACATCATCTTGGTTCGGGTTGGGAAGGTTGGGAAATGCGCGCGATGCCATCTCGCGGAGTTGATGCAGGTAATCGAACGCTGTTTCGCCGGGCTCTTGACAGCGGCTGAGAAAGGTGTGCATGTACACCGAAGGGCTGGAGGTTTTGGCGAAACATTCGTCGAGGACACGCCAGTTGTAGCTGATGGGTTTGGACGCGGAGAAGCCCCCAGCGATAGCACGACGTAGTGCGGTGTCACTCATTGCTAGCATGATCTGAGTATATTGTGCGTGTGGAGTAAGACCGGATAAGAGAGGCTCCATGCGAATCTTCCACATTTCGTAATCGCTGTTCAGGTCCAACGTTGGTAATCCTCGAACCGGGAAGATGTGTTCTGTGGCTGGGGATTGTGGGTTGACTTGTGGGGTGGAGAAGATTGCAGGAGGATCGGAAGAATCTGATTTCATTTCGAGATTGAGTTTTGGACACCTCCGACACCAATTGTAACACCCAGAAGCAACAGACAAAATCAGCGAAGGAAGAAGAGGAAGATGCGAGAGGAAGGTCTATATTTCCAGCACGCCGGGTTCGAATTGCCCGGGTACAAGCTAATCATTGTCATTTATAACAAGGTTAGACAAACAGTCCTCCACCTGTTCCAGCACGGCCAGGCCAGCGTTCTTATCTGAAAAAGAGGAAACAGGAGACTCATTTAGTGATGTCATGTTAGTTTTTATATCATTACAGAATTACTACACAAGCCAGTTTTGAACTAACCGGGGTACGAGCTAATTATCATCCTTTATAACAAGTCTAGATAAACAGTCTTACTCCTGTTTCAGTAAGGCCGCGTCAGCGTTTCTTTCTCAAAAAGAAGAAAAGAAACTAATTTAGTGGCATAATGGCGGTTTTTATTCCATTACACTTAGACTGTGTCGCAGTCATATCGCATGACACGGACGCAATATGACCTGTCAGAAAATGAGAGTTTCCGTCAATCCGGAAAATTTATAACACAATCTTATCATAAATTACGCACAAAAATATTTACCAAGCGAAATTCTGGCCGAAATGGAAGATTGATCCAACCGCGGGAACACGAAAGTATTGATGGCTGAATCGATTTAATGGTTAGCACACTTCGTTTTTCCACAAACAGTAATTAGCTGGCTTTGTGTTATAACTCTCAACATACTTTTCACTCATTATTATCCCATGTGATACAATTGTCGGCCGATCTGATGATACAAGACGGCTGTTTTGAAGAGCATTGCAACCCATCGCTAGTAATTGATACGATGCATTTGCGTATGATGTTGACAAAAATATACTAGGTGAATTCAGTTTTTTGAAAAACAGCATGTTCTGGTGGTATAATGCACTCTGTTGACATCAAAATACAAGTAGGATTAATGTAAATAAATGTGAACTGTCAACTTGCTATCCCCAATCGGACAAATGTGGGGACAAAGTGGGGACATTTTGGGGAAAATGGGGACAGAATGGGGACAACCATTTGAATAATGGGGACAAAATGGGAATAATGGGGACAAAATGGGGACAATATTTGATAGGTGGGGACAAAATGGGGATAATGGGGACAAAATGCGAATAATGGGGACAAAATGCGAATAATGGGGACAAAATGCGGATAATGGGGACAGAATGAGGAAGCATTTGAAAAGTTTTACTTATCTCGGTAGACTGCTGAAAAATTGTCAGTAGTATAATTTTTACGTCGGAAAAACTTCACCGAGGCTGGAAATTTATAAAACTCATGAATTAACGGCTGTATTTTTCGTAAATTAATAAAATCTAAACTTCTTCTTGAATAATTTTTAATCTCAGTAACCAATCAGTTCAGTTAGTGCCAAATTTCTTTGGTAAACGTAAATTACAGCGCTACATATGTCAGGGTTTGTTTTATTACAATTACACACCTTGCGCGCACTTTTAAACCGTTCACCATGCAGGTAGGTGGTCGTTTTTCTCCCTTTTCTATTTTTCTCCTAGTCTAACACTAAATACCCTATACTAAGCCTGAAGAGATTACGTAAGCGTAATCTACAATTGACCTGCCATTACACTACGTTTTACAGAAGGTATAAACGTAATTATGCGCAGATAATGGCCGAGATAAATGCAGCATCGACATCAACGGAGGCTGTTTCACATGCTGTCCTTCCTGTTGAGGTCGAGCCCTCTTCAGTGAACACTGATAGTATGAATAATGAAATCGAGGTGGTGCCATCGACACCGTGCACCAGCTTAACACCATGTGCTAGTACTTCGGAAATGTGCACACAAGTCTCTTCTGAACGTGATGAATTGACAAATATGCTTCTGAATATCCTAGTCACCACGAACATATCACAAGCAGACGCTAACAGAATCTTGGAGATATTCCGTGCAAAATTGCCTCAGCTACCAAAAACCGTTAGAAGTGTACTGAGAATGTGTGGGTCATGCGATTCTAGACTACTGGGAGAAGGAATGTATTGCCACATCGGTCTCAAAAAATGTTTGCAGCACTACATGGAGATGTCGTCTGTGACTGAAACTCCCAGCAACATAATTGACCTGCAGTTGAATGTCGACGGTTTGTCCATCTCGAAGTCTACTAACCAGCAGTTATGGCCCCTGTTAGGTAGGATTACGGCACCGTTTTTAAGCAGTGTTTTCTTGATAGGTATATATGGTGGTCCTAGCAAGCCCAGCAGTTACAAAGAGTTATGCATTGACTTGGTATCTGAACTGAAGGAGATATTAAGTCAAGGCATACACATTACCAGACTTCATAGGCATTTCAACGTTCGTTTAACAGCCGTCATCTGTGATGCACCGGCTAGAGCGGACTTGAAGTGTATAGTAGGTCATAATGCTAGTTCAGGTTGCGACAAATGCACAGTCACTGGAGTTAAAGTTGATGGAAGAATGATATTTGGAAATGGCTTCTTCCCAATAAGAACTGACGAAAGCTTCCGTCAAAGGATGCAGTTAAGTCACCACCGTGGAGACTGCATTTTTGAGGAGTTAAACATTGATATGGTTAAGTGTTTCCCCCTTGATCCAATGCACCTAGTGTATTTAGGGGTAGTAAGGAAGCTTGTAAGTCTCTGGCAAGACTTAGCCAAAAGTGAAAGAGATGCACGTGGACCGTATTATGCTAGGAAATATTGACGGGAAGATATTAGACTGTTCCGGAATGACACCCAAAGACTTCCCGAGGAAATGTAGGGGGCTAACCGAAGTCAGTCGGTGGAAAGCCACAGAATGTCGCCTGTTTCTCCTGTACATAGGACCAGTTGTACTTAAGGACATAATGCCACCGGCTATTTATCGAAACTTCCAAAAATTAAGTCTAGCAGTGTACCTTTTGTCTCACCCTAGATTTCATAGAAACTACTTGGAAGGTTGCAGAGTTGAGTTAATCAACTTTCTAAATGAGTTTGAGGTTATATATGGTAGAAAGCACCTAGTTTATAACATCCATTGTCTGCAACACTTGACCGAAGATGTCAATCAAATGGGACCGTTGGAATCTTTTTCGGCCTTCCCATTTGAATCTTATATGCAGACAATAAGGCGATCAATACATTCCTACAATGCAATCGCTGAGCAAGCGGCAAACCGATCGGGCAGACACCGACACTATTTGCCTCAATTGAGCCGGTTAATAAGTTGAAACCATTTCCATTAAAATTAACCGTAACTTTTATTCTGCTCAACTAAACATCTCCTGCGATAATATTCCTGGGTAATTTGCTCGCCTGACTTTGTGTTACCTTATCAGTACGTAGAGGCTAGAACAGCTACCGATTAAGTTTATGTCATTGAACACCAGTTTTGGTAGTAGGCCAAATGGATGGTGATGGCCGAAGTATACACACATCGGATCTTCACAAAGATGCCGTTTTCGAGAAGACTGTCATGGTACCTTGACATTTAACAAATTGCGTTTATTTTAGATGTGTATATTTCACGGAATTAGGGTTGTGAGCAGTATTTCATGGCGAGTCAATGTTGATGTGTGATTGAAGTGCTGTCATCATAAAGGTGGAAGGTGTGGATAATAAGTTTAGAAGACATTTGAAGGCATTTCCTAGGTTAACGGTTGGTACTACAATTTCATGCTACTGAAAATATCCTGTTGTGAAGTGAGTTACTTTGCAGGGTTGGTATGTTCACTGATTCGGAAGTGATTAAAGTGTGTCTGTGACATGTGATAGGAACAAAACTGAGTTGGTTAGAGACTATTACGAGTTGTAACAACTGGTTAGCAGGCCTGTTTATTGGATTTAATCTGGGTTTTGTTTGTTTGTTTGTTGTAATGGGAAAAGCTTTGAGTCAAGAAATGTAGACATAGAAGTTGGAGATTTATTTGATGTCACCTCACTGGGTCGCTGTGATTGGCTTGAAGTTGAAGTTAAGTGATATTTTCGCGTTAAGTTTTGTACTTGCTAAATACGCGTTGACAATCTATGATTTGATGACCATCATAGTAGGATGGGGTGGCGACCAAGTGCGTAGTTCTTGTGGCTTGGGAGAAATTCATGCCTTTTATTTGAATCAGGGTGATTACCTGAATTATTTAGAAACAAATTGAGTTATCAGTATGATCACTTTGCAACCTATGGAAGTATTGATGTGCATTATTATTGGTTACGATGATTGTAACTGATGAACTGATCAGAGATATTGATGAAGTGAACATAGTGTAATAGTCATGAGCAAGTGGATAATTGTGCCAAATTTCATTGGAAGATTATTTACTGTGGGAAATGGTGAATGTGCGAATTTTCTGTGGTATTATTGTTACTAGTTCTTCGGATTGCTATCGTATCACAGGGTTCAGCTGTCGTCTTCAGGTGGCTCCACTACTTTCGCACAAGATCAATCGTCATCCTTAGTCCGCCGAAGTGTATTTCTCGTGCGAGTAATGATTTGGTCATCCGTTATTTGTCTTTCTCCATCATTACTTAGAAGTTAGGTAAACTGCTTATATAGTTGGTTTGGTAGTGAATCGATTTGGAACTACCACTGTGCAACTTTAAAGTATTGTTCAGTTTATGCGGGATTACTGATCCTAGAATTTTGTATTCTTTTAGTCAAACTGAAACCACCTGTAATATTCTACTTCTAAACTACGACGGTCAGTGGTCTGCATCATTTCACTGTAAGGCAGAATCGTCTGCATACCTGAGGTCATAAAGTGTTCCAGGCAACGCACCTACATTATCTCGCACAAAGAGAAGTGGTAAGACTGGATAACCTTACTGTTGGCGAAGAGCAGCGGTGATTGATGGTTTTATGCCATCACTCTACCTGAGATGTTCCTGTATAGGCTTTACAAGATGTGGCTGTGGGCCAGTTAGAATGCTCTTCACAGCGCTCATTCCAAAGTTCAAGCTGTTTCTCCTGAGAAGTAACTAAAGTACCGTCCTCAAAACTCGTTTCATCAACCATAAGTTGTTCACAACGTGTTTCCTCAATGAGTTTAAGTAGTTGTCTTATGTTGCCTACTACCAACATCTTTTCCATCCCTTGCTATTGTCACCCGATATTGTGTGCTCATTGTGAAGATTCAGTAACTGTTTTCAGCTGATTGAGTATTATGCCATGCTTTCTCAGAATCAGCATTGCTATCAATCTGAGATACGCGTCTAATTATTTTTGTCCTAAGTAAGGACTTTGTGCGTAAGGGCTTCTCAACTATCTGATTCAAAAGTCCGTTTGATCGTAGGCATATACGTGCACTAACTAAGGCGTGATTGGGGTCAACGCAGGTGTTCCAAATGGAGTAATAGTCTAATTACCCTTTTCATCGATAACTTTTATCTAGGTGATCTATTTGTGTCCGTTGATTGGACGAGAGAGGTTGCCAGGTCAGTCAATGTCTCCTCTTATGTTTCAAGTTAGAGCTGACGAAGAACCGTTGATTGTCATAATAGAACTGTAGAAGACTGTCACCGTTATCGGTTCGTTGGCATGAGACATCATGGGTGACACCAATATACTTTTCTGATTGGTACAACTTTCCAAACTGAACATTGAGGTTACGCGGTAAAATGACCATATTTGTTCGTTTTGATTGTATGTGCAGACCAGATAGCTTAAGGTAGGAGTCATCCTTTACTTCATTCTCACTGTCGCGGTTTTATACATAAGCTGGAACTACAAAAGGATATCGGCAGGTATTTAAGAAACTCTCTTGTTGCGAATGTGTTCAGCTGGACAACATGCATGCGACTGTCGATTAAAATTCAATCAAGTAGTGACTTCTCTGCCCCAGTGCTCAATGCTATTCCCACAAAGTTACAAAGACTGAGATGGTTAGGACATGTGTTACGTATGCCAAGTCATCGCCTCCCTCGACGAGCAATGTTAGCGGATATAGGGTCAGGCTGGAAAAAAGCTAGTGGCGGTCAAACAAAAACTTGGCACCAGTCAATGAAATCTACAACAGTTGGTCTAAGCCACGTAGGAAGGTGTAGACTTCCAGGCTGGGGTCCTCGGGACGGTAAAAATCTATGGTTGGAAACAATTGGTGACATGGCTCAAAATCGTTCTCAGTGGCGCAGATGTATCCACTCCTTGCGACTTATGATCTCCAATGAAACTGTTTTGTTTGTCTTTATTACTCCTTTGTCTCACACCTCTGCTCACTGTTTCTATTATGCTTTTCTTGTACTTTCTTCTCTTGCTTCGCGTGCTACACGGAGTGTGGCGACTTGAACTGGTGCACATTTGTGCAAAGTTCTATGTCGAAAACAGACAGACAGCTGTTCCCACACCAGCAAGATCCTGCGAAATGGATGGGAAATTTTCTGACATTCTTAGGTTGATTTTCGTAGATTCTTGATGCTGGCTGGCTGATGTTAAGTAAGTAATCACACACTCAGCGTGCTTGCCTCCGAAATCCATGACCCCAGATGTCAGGGTACTAGCTAGTAACGCCTGTTGTTGCATTTGG